TGACTGATATTGGTACTGGAGCGAGCAATTAAATAAACCGGAAATACCCGATAAAATGCTCGTATTTTACTTGTGGTCACGGATGTGGCACGTTGATTCGCATGACAGGCACTAAATCCCTCAACGTTGACGCCGCCTGATTAGTGACCGTCGCTCCGATCGCTACTACATGTGGAAGCGTAGATGCGCTAAGTCACCAATTCAGTGACCTTGATTTTGCAAACATGATATCAGGTACATCCAACCGACTGAGATGTGGTGCGTAAGCTATTCTCAATTCTGCCGGGTTCGCTAAACATTTCCTGCAGAATGAAAGTGAAATGGTGGCGTTTCGTATATCTGGTGCACTGAATCCAATTTGTCGGCCACCTATATCGCACTTTGTGGATTGAATCATGATAAAAATCAAAGCAACCACCGAAAGAATATCCTCAGATGATGGACACTCGATTCTATCAAAGCGGAACAATTTAGACGGGTCTGGTTTGCATGCTATGGCCGAAGTAGGAAGCAATGCTCAAGTGAGGACCTCTATCCCATGACTGCAAATGTCATCGTCATGTTTCGCTTGATCTCTTAGACACTACCCACTATGTGATTACACGTCCGACAAAGTTACCGCAGTTAAGAAAACATGCTCCAACAGCTTCAAAAGTTGCAAATCTCGGAGATAACACAGTGGTAGACACAGCTGTGACCTAGTGCAACTCCACACTGAGCCGTATTCCTGCACGTTTTGCTAACGCTTCTTCGAGTTAAGTCAAGGAAAGTATCTGCAAGAATATCAAGGTTCACTGCAATATCAGAATAATAATTGGTATATTATAAACTAGGTGAGACAAGGCACAGCAGAGCTGATCTGAACATAAAACACAAACGAAATACGAACAAAAATAATAGGACTGCCGTACCAGACCAAATGCAACTCTTTTTCCACGGATGGTTGCAGCATTAATTTCGCTTTACGATTTGTGCGTTCCATGACGTATTCACGTTTCACAATCAGACTACTTTCCGAGCCGAGACCGTGTGCAATGCTGTAGTTTGTAACCAATCCTCTTGTCTACTTACTGATGGCACAATTCATATGGTGTCTGACGAATTCTTGTAACGCGCTTCACTTGCAGTCAGCTAAGTTAGGCTGAAATCTATAGCACTTTTTAATGGAATAGATGGAAGAATAAAAATCACACATTGGTTCCACTTGATGAAAAGGTTTACTATGTTGTCAAATATCGTCCAACAGTTGGTTGGCTATGTGTTGGCGGCACTTTGCTTTGAATGATGATCTTCAGATGGCGTGGCATTATGACAGGTCGTCGGTTAACCCACATCAAAGGTGGTGTGCGGGAATGCAGCAAGTAGTGAGGCTTTCTAAGAAAATGTTTCGACTTGCACAAAGTGACGGCAAATGGATCGATCAAAAGGAGAGCCAAAGCGAAGTAGAGGACCTAGAGACTGATGCACATTAGCATAAACTTCAGGTGACAAGTATTGGTCGAATCTGTCTACTGAAGCTTCAAACCATAAAACATAGATTGCGGCATCGAATCGGTAAAGGTATGTTTTCCAGTACGCATACCTTGTGATTCTGACAAGTACTCAACCAGTAGTGATTGAGTACTTTTGGACTGGAAATGTTATATATATATATATATATATATATATATATATATATATATATATATATATATATATATATATATATATATATATATAATTTCCAGTCTAAAAACACTCAATCATTACGATTAAAGTAAAGAGTCACCTTTTTAATCTCGAGGCCATTCGACATTTTATTCAGAAGCGGAGTCACGCTATTCTGGTAATTCTATAACGGCAGGCCACCAAAAAGTTGCCACGCGAACAGCGACTAAGTGCTAGGAATTTTCAGCAGATGCTACTGGCATCTGCGCGGTGAGCTTATCATGGTTTACCAGATTTTAAGCAATCATAATCATTAGTGCAAGCAGGTGCTAAACCTCAGCCATAACAACAGACTAAAACACCACCATGAAAATTGGCAGAACAATATGGCCAGTTGGAGCATCGACGAAATTTTCTGCCGCTACGTGTTTGCAACCGGAAGCTGTTACTTTAGCGCACACATATAATCCATACGCGCATTCAAGAAACTAAACCGCACCAACTCAAGTCCGTTTTGGTGGGGGAAAACCCAAGACGACATCATTGCAAATTGCACAATACTATGTATTAGCAACCCAACGCAAAGTTTTGATCCATAAGTTTGCTGCTACTAGTTGTTTAGTGTTTTTTAGCAAAAGCATTTCGCTCCAAATCGCCAAAGCCCGGTCTGCATTTGTCAAGCTGCAACATTTGTGGCGTCGTCTCCCCCTAGGTAAGAAGATGTTGTTCCGGCGGTTTTGCTACATGGCAGTGAGTCACGGTCAATTGGCGTAGATTACAAGTGCCAGCTCTAGGCCTTCGAGAATGGCTGCTTGAGGAGAACTGCTCGTGTGTGGTGGCAACAGCGTAGTTGCAACGGTGAAGTCAAATGTTGTGTCTTACGGATTGCGAGTATTCCCTTCAACAAGCTGGTTTTACTGCGCCAGTTAAGATGGTTCTGCCACGTCCTGCGTAAGTCAGCTGAGAATTGGATCCACACGACTGCCTGGTTGGGGATTTAAGGACGAACACCACCAATGGCTTGAAACCATCTAGAATATGGGGCGCAATCGAAACCAGTGGAAGAACTGTGCAGACACTTGTTTAGATACTTAACGCCTAACAAATAAGGCAAGGCATTAGCAGTACGCTGATACGCAGTACCGGCTACGAGTCGGCCCAACAAGTAAAAAAATACGAAAGAAAAGAGCATACAAAAAATTACAACAATATTCCCTCCTTCTGGCGGCATAACAGCAAAAGTGTGGCGCTCACCTTCAACTAATGTGCCATACTTATGATGCTGCGGCGATTCTACCTGTCATGCTCTGAATTGCATTACTCATACTACTGCTTTTTTGAAACCCTAACCGACCACTATGGGATAAATGTTAAGCTTCGGCTTGCTTATCTGCAATATACTGCTGAACACAGAAGCAATAATTTGTTTCCAATCTTCCGCACGCGGCAAACATTAAAGGAGATAAATTTCCGAATTAACTGAAGCCACTGTTCATTCGAAGTGTTATATGATTTTGGTACCATTACACACAGTATGGTGCAAACGGATTGCGGCTGGCTTTCCGAGTTGCAACTGCTGGTTCACTTCATCGATTGCAGTTCCTAAGTACAGGCTTCTAGTCAATGGTGATAAATACTCACACACACACACACCTCAAGACTTTCTCTGTGCCATTCTCGTTCGCGTAATACAAGCAAGAATGAACGTCAATGTCCCTCCACTTTTCGTGCGTATTGTCAAGACCCCTATGGGCCACTGATGGTGAAAGACGCTTTGACAGTAAGGGTAAAGTAACCAATCCGAGAACGGAAGCCACATGATATGTAAAAATCATTTAAGCGAGTTCGTTCCACAATTCTCGATCCACACCGTACTCCATTAACTATGGCTCGCTCAGAAGACAATTTTTCGATCAAACCTGCGACGCAACTCGATGCTGGGTGATGACCTGCCATTTCTATTTGTACCTCAAATGAAGCTAAACCTATACACTTAATGTGTAGACTATCTAGGAAGATACTGCTGAGAGAGATCGTTTGAAAATGTAATAACGTCCCACGTTAACGAAAAGCACAGATACACTTAAGTCCGCAGACAGCACATGAATCGAACGGACATTCCAAGATATGCATCTAGGCTGAGGCAGTCCACTGTTTTATATGAAATGAAGAAACGTTTGGTTTTGTCTATAATGTAAGACCACATGTTCGAGAACATTGACAACAGCATCCACCACAAATGGCTCAAGTTATTATGGCATCCAATCAGGTATGCTCGCTCGTCGTAGCTTCCGAATAGCTGGCGTGAGTATAAACCAGATACATGGGGAAATGAGTTACACACTCACCATTCAATCCCAGCGCAACTCATGCAGACTCCAAAGGTAGCAACTGACTCAGACTTTTTCGAGCTGACTAAACACAACAATATGAGCTAATGGTAGTGTGCTGCGCTTTTAATTTTGATGCAATATATAGCAATGCACCGGCCTATCACAATAAGTGGCCGATATCCAGGAAGTCGCGAGTATGCAGAAATGACGATGATGGCAGCGTTAATATGCTGAGCATCAATAGGGGAGATTCTTTCCGATCAAAATTTCCTCTCAACTCAAATACGAAAACTCCTATGTCAATGCATGCGAACGGAAAACCTCACAAACCACGGCGCCAATGACCGTCTCTGCCACATCGCAAATCCGGGATCATCTTCTCAGTTGCCATGGGGTCCAGGTAAGCGTGGATCACTCGTAATCACAGAAGCTACTTTGCCATCCTTTCTCAGTCGTCGTTACGGTGTGTGGAAGAAGGTACTCGATGCAAGACACTGTGCGCAATTCTAGGATAAATCTTTCGCAAATTTATGGGTAACAGTTGGGCAGGGAGAAAATATTAAGCAACCATATCGTCCAAAAACTCAAGAAATCGGCATAAGGACTAGTGTGAAAAATTTTCTCGTATAAGGACATATGGATTGCCGTATGGGTGTCTTCAGACCTCATCCCAGATGGTGTTGGCTAACTGCTTTTCATATCTAAACCTTTGCTTCTGGTGGTGTTGATACGGATTATTCTGATTTGTTTCCGGTTACAAGTTTGCAAACATATTACTTCGGAATCATTTTCATCACACTTGTTACTTTCAATGAGAGGGTGACGCAAATCGTTTCAAATGGACTCCCCATACTTTGAAGAACCGGATTAAAGTTCCGTCTAGTGATCCTCAGGGTAAGATCACATAATCGAATCTCGTCTATGCCATCATGGCCCACAAGGTAAGATGTTTAATACACTTGAAACTGCGTTGTTAACTTCATCACAAATGGATAGAAGTAGCATCAAAAACATGGATGTAGAAAAATATTTGTAATCTCGTAAGCACGAAAAGAATGATATCAATCGAGCATGCCATCAAGAAATTCGTATTGTGACATGTGGCGAACCACTGTGTCCACATTTAAACGAGAGACTGTCTTCTTCCCTGTCTCTAAGGTAACGCGATGGATGTCATTGCAAAACTCCCGTACAAATCGTTCGCAAGCCCGTTCTATCAATAGAAGAGCTTCTGTATTGATAAGGTTGACTGAGGGTACTATTTTCGCTATGGCCTTAACGCGTGATAAGGGGAAACGAGAAGGCTTTTGTAGACCGGTGGTAGAGTCTTCATCTTTCCGGTCGGCCACGGAAACATCTACAGCCAGATTCTCATCTTCGATGTCGCCGATATCCGCAGGCTCCACGTTTTCGATATCCGTGGCCGGATTGTTGGCGTCTTCTTCAAATGAGCACTCACCACCTGTAGATTTAACAATGCAATCCACCGGAACTTACCAGAGTCCTCGTGTTCGGAATCCATTATATCTATAAAAAAATTAGATGCAGTAGCAAATATAGTGAGAATGATGAAGGTGGAATAATCCATGGTTACCCCGATTCAACTAGTATAAGGAATAACACCGAACAAGCTGTGCTGGTTTGAGTACGTGTTACGTATACCGATGCATCGTGTATCGAGGGGAACATTGGACACTACATGCTGCCAGGTTGGAAACGGACAAAATCGAACTTGGCGGAGGAGATGAAACCACCGATGGCTAAGCCTGGGGTAGCTGGTCTCTCTCGCTCTCCAGGCTGGAGTCCACGCGGCTCACCATGTGCTTAGCTCTAGGGGTTACGGGACAAGACTCGCAGCCGGCACCAGTGTCACATTCACTGTCGTCTCCTATCTAGAGTATCTGACCAAAATGTCCAATGCTGGGATAGCTTTAAAGTAAGTCTGACTATGACGAGGACGCCTTGTTTATGGCACAGGAAAAGGAACTGAACCGCTCAGCACCGTTATTTCACGCACCAGGCTCCGATGGCTCGGCCACGTGTTACGCATGCCGGCCCACCGACTCCCGCGACGTGCGTTGTTTGCGCGCCGGGGGGGTGGATGGAAGAAGAGAAGAGGTGGCCAAGCGATGACTTGGTCCAGAGAAATGAAGGCCCTCACTTCTGAGCTGGCCTCGGTTGGAGCGTCTCGGCTCCCTGGTTGGGGTCCGAAAGACGATGAACACGTTTGGTTGGACACACTTGCTGATATGGCTAGGAGCCGACCTCAGTGGCGTTCGTGCTGTGTTTCTTTGTCCCTCCCATCCCTCTTAGCCTCCCCCTCCAACCACGATCTCATTAGTTAACCTTATATAATTTTGCATAGTAACTTTTTGATGCACAATAGCCGGCTAGTAGCTTACCGGAACGATGCCCATCCGTTACCGGTAGCACAGCCGGCTTGCACCAGTTGCATTTTTTTCTTTTTTCTATGTATTGCGGCACAGTAGCTGAGGTGTTCCCCACCTCTAGCTAACGTGTATGATATTGATGATGACAGGGACAGCGAAGACCATAAGGATGTCATCTCGCCGATATCACCTTATCTTCGCAACATAGCCAGCTGTTTGTGACAATGCGTTGTCGACAAGAAGTAGGCACTTTTATCCTGAGTGCTTAGTGAAGGTATTTAAATTTCACACTAGGTCCCTCCTTATTATTTCTCGCCACATTGATCACTGTCATTGTAGGACAACGAAGTTCGGGTCAAATTATTGATGTATCGCTGCTGAGGGAAAGGTTACAACAGATGAACTGTGTCCATCCTAAAATGGCCAGGGGCAAGCGCACTTCTAATGGGACAATGCACACTCCTAAGTGGAACTTCGATCTCTACACTAGCTAGTCCATCGATGAAGTGTATACAAGCAAACTAACCGGCTCGGAACGGAGCCAAATATCAACGTATTTATACCTGAAGTATAAACATTCGTCCGTCCAGCGAAAGGTTTTGTACCATGACGACTACAATGTACAAAGTGACCAGGTTGAGCCAGATGACAAAGAGAATGTCGCATAGTCAAGAAAGCAAAAGAAGCACCAGAGCATCGACAGAGTTCGCGTACTTTTTCAAACATGCTTGTGATAGCTGCGCGGAAACGTGCCCGAGGAAGTTGACCCAAACTAAGACCAATTTCATGTTAACAAAGGGATCGTTACACAATCGGAGTTTAGACTGAGGAAACAAGTAGAAAGTTCTGCAAGGGGAAAGGGCTCGGTGTAATGATACTTCTTGCCATATACCGACAAGAATCGGGTTGGACAGAAGATACACTTCAAGGACATCCACAATCGCTAGTCCAGCAAAAGCGAAAGACGCTCAAGGCATAAATGAAGACGAGCTCTGCAGATCCGTAAGATCTCGGCAGTCAGACGTATTAGGCGTCGCTGTAACATCATTACATTCTGACGTAATCGTGTAAAAGTAAAAATCAGCGGCTACTTGTGCTTTCACTGTGATAAACCAACAAATTAACGTAGAGGTATGCTGTCTCACGAGAGACTCGTGAGTACCTACCGAAGCGCTGGTGATCTATGTGAGCAGTTATGGTGTTCGATTCACCTCAGATGCAGCGAGCTGCTCGTGGGTGTGACCTATCTCAGTCTACTGACCCGCTGCCTGGACTGGTTGTCGCATGTCCGCAACCCTATGAGTCATCCGCAGTTCCTGATCATGGGTCATATCAACCTACCCCGTCTTCTGTGACTAAGCTGTTCAATAGGTCTCTTTCCACACGTTTATTACCGAGTGACTGGAAATGCTCAGTCGTAAAGCCAATACCGAAAAGCGGTGACCCCAGCAAATGGACAACTATCGGTCGATCTGATTGACCGCTATTTGGCTAAAACACTTGAAAAGATATTAAAGAAGGATCGTCTTGTGTGGAAAAGCCTCTTGACGCTCGCACAGCATAGTTTGGTGAAAGGTCGCCCATGCATCAGCAACTTGCTGTTGACGAGGCACATAAGGTTGTAAGCTCTGAACCAGGGGAAGTTGGTCGACGTCATTTACAGACTTCAGTAGAGCGTTTGACAAGATGAACATCGAGGTCCTTCTCCACAGGCTGAGGGTGTGCAGAGTTGGTGGTTGGCTACAACAATGGATCAGAAATTTCCCCGTCGGTCGAAAGTGGAGGGTCCATGTCGACAACCATCTGACCGACTGGTATTCCTCGACGAGTGGCGTGCCCCAAGGAACTGTAGTGGAGCCCACTGTTCCTGATCCATATAAGCCATGTGCATCAGCTTTTCCGTACGCCTTGTGTTGTTTGCAGATGACTTGAAGGTACGGAGAGTAATCAGTGCGACCGGTGACTGCAATCTGCTTCAGCCGGACCTTGGCCGTTTCTCCATGTAGTCAAGTCGCTATTCATGACATTGGGTAAAAGTGAACACGGTCGAAAATACACTGTGGCTCGTGAACCGTTGCATCCCACGATTTTCGTGAAATACCTCGGTGTACTCTCACGCTGCGACCTAACATCCGTGGATAACAGGAATAGTCTTTACCAAAACGGACTTCGCCTATTTTGGACACTCCATCGCAGCTTCAACACTTGGTCCGAAGAGACTGCCACTCGTTTCAATCATACGACCAATACTAGAGTACGGCTCACCTGTTTACTGTTCTATCATTCGGGGCGAAGTACAATGAAATGAGCAGGTACAGCATTTGGCCATCAGGCTCATCCCCACTTTACGTAGTGTGCCGTAAGAAAACCGGTGAAGGAGACTAGGACTTTATACCTTGCCTTATTGTCGAGTGCGGGTTGACCTCATCATGATCTACCGGATATTACGTCTTGGTGACTAGCCCATGTTGAGACCGCTGCTCCATATGCGCGCATCAAGCAGCATACGAGGACACCGGTACAAGCTTGTAATACCGGATTTGAAGCGGGTCACTCGTCAACTCTGCTTCGAACAGAGAGTAGTGGATATATGGAACAATTTGCTGCCGCACGTAGTAGAAGTAAAGTCGGTGTCGGGATTCAAAAAATTCATTGACTAACACTGCCGCGATGAAATATCGAGAATGATCACCAAGACAATTGGTCAGTATACCCGATGGATTTTCGACGGGACTACATAGAAAAGGCTAGACGCTTCCGGTGAAGATAAATGGAATCATTGGTTTTCCTATCGAGACAAATCATCATCATCATTACATATTAGCTGAAGGTGAGAAACATACTTCAACTTTTGTGCCTCAATAGAAAAGGTAAGATTTATGAAAAAGTGGGATACTAAACATGGTATAATACAGAAAAACAACGGGTAACACACCATATAGCAACACGGTATGCTTCAAGACAGAGATCGCGATTAGAGGGGGAGAATAAGCGGGATGGGGAGGAACAGAGAAACTCATAACACAAACGCTATTGATGTCAGCTCTTTGCCGTGTCAATAAGTGCATCCAACTGGACGTACTAGGTCATGGGAAACTTGTTTCTAAACTACGGTTAGGGTTTACTTGAAGAGATGAAGTGCATAACTAACACAGAGATGGGCCAACGTCTTAACCAACAGAACGAGACGATGTGTTCATATGACTTTAAAAACCTGAAACAACTCAGTGTTCTTTAGAAGCATGGCATTAGAAGATTGCAAAGGAGAGACAAAGTAAGCCAGGTTTGAATCAATACCAGAAATCAGTTCAGGGTGAAGAATTCTTTTCGGTAAACTCTCATCGGACCCAAACGTTTACAAAACACTGATAGTGTGGGGTAAGCGTCAACTCGGGCTGGGATTTACTTCTGGACTGTTTGAATGATCAAAATCGATAACTTGAGACAGAGATAGCGATGGTAAACCAAGTAAACTAAATACACATGTATACGCAAAGCTCAGTAGTCCAAAGTAATTAAGTAGGTGAAATAACAGCCAAATAACTAAGTAACAGTGTCCGTTGGCCAAGGTAGTAGTATCGGCCGTATGAATCGTTTTTGTATACATAATTCCGGCTTCAGATTGTGATGGATAAGAGCTGTTTGCGGAATTCTTGGGTGAAGTGTTCAAGAAGTGAATAAATAACTTTGAAGTCATTCTCTGAAGCTGTGTGGCCACATTCAAGGAGGTGCGACATGATTGAGGTGTCTGAAGACCTCATTTCGCCTCTGTAAAACCATGCTGGGATGTGTTCACGAACCCTCTGAGATAGGCGTCTTGTCGTGCGACCCACGTATCGTGCACCACAGGAGCACGAGTACTGATAAACGATCATCGAACGGGTCAACGACGGTAGTCTATCCTTCAAGGGTTTCGTAAGCAACGGCTTATTGTGAAAAACGATTCTCAGGCAGGCCGCGAAATAAGTTTTCTCGACAGCGTCTTTTAGGCGTCTGGATAACATATCAACTGCAAAATCGCCCTTAAAGGGTATATGTACGAAAAGCTCTTTCTTAGGAGCAATGCTCCTAGGTGGCTTTCGATTGCGTTCCTTCAAATGTTTCATGATAAATTTATCAGGATAGCCATTTTCCCTGAGGGCGTCGCTGATTCTCTGTAGTTCTTCGTTGACGGTATCCGGTGTACAAATACTGCGCGCCCGGAAGGCGAGAGAGCTGATTAAACTCCGCTTATGCTGTAGTGGTACTGCGCTGTGGAAGTTAGTGTACTGCCCAGTCCATGTGCGCTTTCTGCTGCATGATCTGTCCGAGTTACGGATAACCTCTACATCCAAGAAAGGTAATCGGTTTCCGAGTTCGTGTTCACAAGTGAAATGGAGATTCTCGTGTGCGTCATTGAAAGCTTTCAGCAACCGTTCCGCATGCTTTTCGGATTTGCAAAATACGAAGGTGTCCTCAACATACCGTACGTACATTTCGGTTTCGCGGATGTGCGTTGCAAGTGGGCCATGTTCCAATTTCGCCATGAAAATATCAGCCAGCAGCGGCCCCAAAGGAGATCCCATGGCCACTCCGTCAATCTGACGATACATTTCACCATTGAAGGTGAAATGAACATTTAACGTGCAACGAAGTAGCACCTCCTTTAGCAAATTCTCCGGAAAAGTTGTGTATATGGGCAGTTGCCGAGCAAGCTCGCATACGTAATAAACGGTTTCGAGCAATGGAATGTTTGTGAACAGCGACTGGGCATCGAATGATATCATCCTTTTGTTAACAAGGTTGCTTTCAGATATCCTCTCAATGAATTCGAACGTGTCTCTCACGCAGAAAGTACAAACCAAATTCCGTAACGGCTGCAGCTTCGCCACCATCCACTGGGCCAACAAATGCCGAGGAGAACCCACCATGTCCAAGATTGGGCGCCTTCCTTGTGAACTTTAGGCAGCCCATATAATCTCGGTAGGTGTCCACCTGAAGGCTTCAGCTTTTCGAATTCGTTCTTCGTGATAAGCTTGGCTTGCATCATTCGCCTGAGGTAGCCGGTTAGCTGTTTCTCTAACTCCCCTGTGTTGTCTTTTCCTGCCATGAGCCTCTGAAACTTACTCTCGTCACTGAGGATGTACTGCATTTTATGGATATAATCCACCCTATCCATTAACACTATGCCAGAGCCTTTGTCTGGCTTAGAGATTATTAATTCGTTGTTTAACTGTAGCTCTTTAAGTGACTGAATTTGTTCGCTAGTGATAATACTATTACTAGATGGTTTGGTCCTAAGGTATTCATGTAACTATGAAGTAGGCTAGATTTTAGTTTCTCAACATCACTTGATGAGGTTGGAAGCCGGTCTTTAGTCTGAGCAATTAGGCTTTCAAACTGCACCTCTAAAGCCGCCTGATCTATTTTCCTACATGGAATGCAAAATTTTGGACCTAATGACAACACGTTCAGCTGCGTCTGGATTAGTATCACACTTGCAAGGTTAAACACATATCGCTGCGGGTCATTCGGAAATGTCAACTGGGGGACATGGCTATTAAGCGTACGAACTACTTTTGTTTCCTTACTCCCATTTTTTGCTTAACCAGTTCTACATATTCCTCAAAAGGTTGTCTCAAGTCTTCAGGAAGGCGTAACACCGCTGGTAATCTTTGCGAAATGAATCTCTCCAGCTCCGACATTTTAATGCGGACGGAGTCCACATAATTGAGCGCATGTCTCTTCAAGCTTTTTGCGTTTGGGTAGAGGCCACACCGCCGTATTTCCCTCCAAAAGTGCTTTGGATAGCGGTTTGCCTGCACGCATTCATTGAGGAATTCCAATTCGAACCTGGATTCTTCCAGCCGAGTATTGAACTTCAGATACTCATTCAAGAGTTTCAATGAATCACTGGCAATGCTGGTCTTCAGCAAAGCAAAGATTCCCATTCCATTAATATGAATCAATATCAGAGATCAGTTCAGGGTGAAGAATTTTTTCGGTTTAATAGTCAAATCTGGGGAAATGCGTCTGTCACGCCCCCAAAATGTCACCACTAGTGTTTAGACGTAAACTGGTTGGTCTGAAGTAATCACTGCCCTAGACGGAGTATATCCCGACAAAACCGAAACGGCACAGTGCACACGATGGACCAACATCATGAGCATAGGCAATTTGGTCGGGGTTGTTGTTAGTGCGCACACCATGCACAAGCACATGTATAGATACAACAAAGAAGAGGGGGACGAAGTCGAAGATGCGACAGCCTCGAGTTAGCTTACAAGTAACCAGAGGCACCAAAGATGCTGATCACTTACGTTTCCGAAGTGCCAAGTGGAGACTGATAGCCTTTAGAAGCACCATTTGGTGAATCAATAACTAAGGAATTGCTACAGTGTACCAGAACGTGGTGGGTTAACGCTTAGCAAGCGTTCTCCATATAAAAAGCCACAAAAGTTTGTTTAACAAGACTGGCAGATGAGACTCGCTGTCAACTAAATTCACTACCCTTCGCTTCGCCGAATCACCTTCCTCACTCTATAAACGTCAGCACTCCAAACCGAAGCGTCCCTTCGAACCCTTCTCATGCCGATGACCTGAATGAACACAATGCCAAACTCAGCGCCAAATTAACACACTCAGGCAAGAGAGACATGCAAATGCGTACCTAGATACATTTATAAACACATAGATCCAATACATTAGTGGTATATTACAATATTTTGTGCAATTTTCTATCAGTCGCGTTTGTATTACTATGATCATGCCTATACAGGCGTGCCTCGCACTGTCGAGAATAAAAAAGTTATTTATTTATTATTAGATGCCATCACACTCGGATCAGAGAGTGTACTATTGGCTACAAGTATAACGAATTGAGAAAGGACAATGACAAGTCACGCAATATGAGATTCGAGTTGTAAGGCGAATGATGATAAGAAAAAAATGGTGGATCAATCTGTTATAAGAATTTAATAGAAAGAGCGTTTTGTACAGAATTGCAAGTAGTCAATAAGAGTGGGTTCTAAGGAGAACGCAGTTAGTGTGTGCGAAGGGTAAGAAAGGCTGAATGTAAATGCCAATCGGATCGTTTAAAATGGACAGACTGCGAGCGGTTCGCTAAGAGAATGTATTCCAAGCTGGGACGGAGATTAGAAATACTTTTTAAAGAGTTCAAGAATCCAAAAATGCACAGAGCAGAAGTAAGAAACTACTGTGACAGATATGAGAAAAATGACACTGGGCGCAAGGCGTCTCTATGATAATTACGAGAGGAAATCAGAAACGAGGGACAGACTGGGAACGCCTCAGAAGCATGTTGCAAGGAGCGGCCTCGAACAAAAGTGAATTGGGGTTAGAATATATATGCGTATTACGACGAATGACGGAAGAAATCTGAGGAGTGGCGCGGACCCATGAACCGGTAGTGGGGCACGGATCTTCTGCAGTTCGAGGACGGTCTTCGTCAAGGAAAATAAGACCAACGATCACAGTAACATCACCAGGGGCACCCGCTGCGGAAAAGCAAAAAGCGAGGAGAATAAATTAAGAATACCGAGGCCAGAACAGAAAGAAGTAAGTTATAAACCGGCTGTGTATCAGATACCGGACAGTATAAAGGTGAGAATGTGAAGCAACGGTGAAGCGTGGGTGTCGAAAAGAAAATCGTCCATGATTGAGGTACCGGCAAGTAAAGTTCGAAAATCTGGCTGCGAAAAGACGCAATGGGTGGAGATGTGAGAACGTGCAACAAGCGAAAGGAAAGATTGTTTACAAAAGAATAGGAAAAGGTGAAAAGAAAGGAAACACCAATTGCGATTCGACATGAGAATACAGCCCATGACACAGACGGTAAAGTGGATGAGACCTTGGAGCAAGCATCAAGGTACAAATACTGTATGGAGGCAGTTCATCGGATGCTGTAGACCCACGTACTTACAAAATATGTATGAATAAGATGGTAACGAGTGCTATGGCCCCAACTAGTAAACTCAAAGGAAAAACTGGAGCGTTTGGGACGATTTACTCGTTGGAAAATGGGCTAAAATGGAATGCATTTCACGAATAGTGGAGTAAGAAAGACTGGTGCAATTATCGAAATAATGGGGCGTTTTGAGCGGTTCACGCGCTCATCGTACACCCAAATACACGACGCCGAACACGCTTATTGCTCGTGTGGTGTTCCTAACAGACATGAGTTAAACTGTGAAGATCGCAATGATGGAACATAAGTATCCTCTTTATGGTTGTCGATCTGATAAGCCAGGTATCATAACCATACAGGATGTTGAAGGCATGGCCGCATTGGGAATTTTATTCTTCAAGGCGAGTGATAACGCGCCGGTGCTACAAGTGGCGATGAGAGGTAAAAGCGCTTCGAATATTTGCTATACGATCCCAAAACTTCGGCGTCTATTCCACAGGCAATGGTACAGCTGCCCAGGTATTCGAAATTTTAAGCGACTTCTAGTTGATCCCCATCAAAGGTTAGCGCATGACCAGTCCCTGCAGATCTCGGAATGTAGCTTTGAACTTCGAGATTGCAAAAGAGAGTCCGAAATGGCTGGGAACTTATGCTGATTGGTCCAGACGCATTACAATAATTGAGAAATAGGAGCAGCGCGCTCTTGAATCTTTTATCCAACACAATGGAGTGTTCCAGATAATAAACGGCATGCAGTGCAGAGCGATATAGTTTATAGACAAACAGTTTGACGTGTTTAATATGATGACTTGTGAAAATGCGGCGGATCAGCAGTTTTCCAAGTACCTTTGAGAGCAGGGATGTGCACGAATATGACTGAGAATTCCGAGATTCTTTTTTAGGCAGTAGTGTTATCCTGGTTGATTTCCAAATGTCAACGATGGTACCACCGATTTTAAAAATCTGTCAGAGCTGTCTTCAAAACATTTCGCCACTCTTTCGGAGAGACAGCTGATGGAGAATCGGGGTCACTAGCCTTGGTTGATTTCAGTCTTGTGAGCTTCGTGTATACATTTGTGAGATCAAGTAAAGTAAACGGCTCTGTGGTGGTAAGGGAAAGTAGGGCGAGTGTGTTAAGCGATGAGGAGCTTAACTCAGCGTTGAGTTTGTTGACATCCTCGGGGCTGAGTGCTCTGCACCAAGGTATTCTACAGAGTTGTCTTAGAAGTTCTCAAGGATCACTGCAACCTGTAATTGACTAAAACGGTCAAAATGCACAGACCGTTTAACCTTACCTCAGCTTTTATGGTCACGGACAAGACGTCCGACACGGATAGTTATCTTGTGTTCATAAGCCTGTTCTTTTCTCCTTCGTAGTTGCTTGAGCAATGGAGATGAAAATCTGTCATTTCGCAAATAGATTGGTGCAATGGGGCGACACAGATCAAAACAGAAGTTCATGCAGTCTGTGAATTGCTCGGATTCAGCTGACAATGTTGTTGATATCGAAAAATCGATCACCTGGAAGCAGCTCCGCAACTTCCAATGCGTACCTATTCAATGTAGTTTCTACGGTTTCGTCAAAGGCTAAGTTAAAAATTGAAATATAACGTCAAGCAACCTTGTCTCATGCTGCTGGAGATATTGAAGGGATGCGATAGTTTGTTATAAGCGCACAATTCGTCCGAACTACGCGCGTACAGCGCCATGGTAACATTTCCCGAACACACCTTTCATGAACAGTCAAGCCTAAATGGCACATCGATCCATCGAATTGAAGGCACCGTCGATGCCGAGAAACATGACTACGGTGGGTCACCAATGGTGGTCTTCAAACAACTGAAATAAAGTGGGGATGCGGTCAAAACAGCCATAAGTTCGATGAAACTTGATTTGCTCCTCGGAAATTTAACAAATGCCGGTCAGTCTATGACTGATAGAGGGGAGCGATTTAGATGTGGTAGAGATCAGACTGATACTTCCGTCACCGACTACTGACGAGGGAATTCAATGAGTCGACGAACGAAACAATATGTAGACAGAGCGGGGAAATCATCAGACACCAAACCTATCGACATGAGCAATGAATCCATTACGTCGAGAGATAATTCAATCAACCTACATAGGTGTCACTGCTTGTTAAATAATCTGAACCCATTTGGACGGTTCCAATTATTAATGAGAACAGAGCATAATTGGAACTACTGAAACCGTAACGCAAAACCAAAGCCAAAATCATCCCACTTTATCACTGCTGAAGGATGTTAGTAAATCACGGGTGTTTGGAGTAGTCGCTTGTCTTAAGGTGGGGTACTACGGGGTCGACTTGAAACTAAGTACAAACATAAGAACCTCTAAACCGGATAGAAAGACACCACACAAAAAGCATTAAAACGCTAGACTTCCAAACATTGTTTTTACAGGCGCCTTGCTGCTGTGGCTCGTGGTTCTAAGGAATAGAGAGAAAAAAAATCAAGACTGGCTACGACACTGTTGGAGACGCATTGATTACGCAAGTACAGTAAGTCAGGAGTTGGAATAACGTCATATATACGAACAACCAAAGGTAATCACTTTCCTAGACGCGAGGACCACGTTCGATTCAAGTACCCGAGCATGCTGACGGTGCCAATCTCGAACATCCTACCTAGGATGTTCTATTGTTTTTATAACTCCTTATCGCGACCTGCGAGAAACTAGCAATTGAGCTCCTCATAACTTGTAGAAAGCGGACAACATGGCATCTGTGGAAGTGATTCCGGATAGACTGACACACACTTCGGAATGTGTTCCACACTTACAACAAAATGGGGTCAAAGCGTTATAAACATTTACAATTCCTTAACAACCGCTCGTGATGGTCAAGTTGTTGATTTTCTAGATAGCCGTATCATCTCTACATCGTCGCAAAGGCAGCTGAGAACATTGCAGAGACAGGTATAGTTCTCCAAACTCTCACTCGTCTATACAGACAACAAGCTATTAGACCATCACCCACAGAGCGTATAACTTAACACTGCACTT